GCAAAGTTGAACAAAATCTCGGCATTTCTTAAGAATGCCGAGTTATTTGAATGTAATGGAGGGTGGTTGGGATTAAGGCCCGGGCGGGTCTCGTGCGTAGTCACCTCCTCGTGGTGAGACCTGGTAATTGATATCTCTTTACAAACACTAAAGTGTTACAAACTTTAATATTTGTAAAACGATATCAAGCTAAGAACTACGCAACCTACAGTTCAGTTTAGGTCGTGAAAATTTCTTTTCATTCTTTATTTCACGGTCTAAACTGAACTGTAGGGGCAATATAGTGTTGATAAGTAAACTATTGGGCCCCCAGCGGACCACCGATGGACGACGAGGGATATCGCAAGGACATCGTGGGACGACGAGGGATCTCGCAGGGACATCGTGGGATGCGTGCGTCTTAGCTTTAAGTTAATTAGGAGATTGTTGATATTTGTAAATTCACTGTGAGCGCATTCTGTACATACAAAGACACGTTTATTTAATTTGAAACGAAATTAGGACATCTTCTCTCTGCTCTTTTTTCATTCGTTGTTACTGTTGTTACTGACACTGCACTAAAGTAGATTTTCCAACTTTCGTTGTCAGTGTGTCAAGTCGGGGAACTGCAATCTCGTCCGAAAGGACAAGGTTGGTTCTTGTAGTCTAGCGTCCTTTCTAATTCGGCTTCACTGGTTCAGAAGAACCCCGTTGGGGCACAGACTACTTGCCTCTGTAAATGCTCGAACCCCGATTTGGCACACTGACAAATCGCGGTTTCATTTCGCGTTATATCTCTTACAAAGCACGATATTGAAATGTGTCAATAGTTTCGTTTCCCTAATTTCATTTCAATGTTTACTAAACGTGTCTTCGATACAAATTGTGCTGGTAGGGCTGCGAATTATTGTAGAATTATTGTGTAGCGTGAAAGTTAGATAAGTACGTATGTTAGTATGAAATGCTGCGAGTGAATGAGAAATATTGTTTGATTTTCACTTGTATGGATTGTATGAACTGTATGAATTGTATGAATTGTATGATCTGTAGGAATTGTATGATCTGTAAGAATTGTATGATCTGTATGAATTGTATGAATTGTATGCATTGTATGTAATGTATGATTGCATTATTTTATGTATTGTATATATTGTATGATTTTATGTATTATATGATTGTGTGACAGATGAACATATTGTTAAAGCGATCGTTGTTTCGGAATAGGAGTTCCATCATTCAGTCTCATACTGGAAGTTTTACAAGTCTTCTTGTTTTTTTAACTTTTCCTTTGAAAGTATTATCTTTTCTGTTTCTCTTGACTTTTCCTCTAAAAGTATCTTTTCATTTATCAATTGAGCCTGTATACTTTTTTCTTCGTTAGCTTTATTCTCCATCACATTTTTCTATTGTACTTGTTGATCTTCTGTCTATTTTTCCATTTGTTCTTCCATTTTCAATTTCATTATTTTTCGAATTTACTTACATTTAATGCCTCTTGCCATTTTTGTTTTTCTGCGTTCAGTTTCCTTCCAAATTCAATTCGTTCGTTCTCTAATTTCTATAACAATTTGACATATATATGTTTTATATATTGCTTATTTTCTTCTCCAACACTGTTTTCAAATTTTGTGCTACTGGTCCGTTAACCACTTCGTTATATGTGTTTGAGAGGACGTAGTAATCATCGTACCTGTCAGTCAATTTTATTGGTGTTGTCCCTCTTCTTACTATCTGATTCGTGGTGTCTTGATGATTTCCTCTGGTGTTGTTAAGATTTCAGGCTCTTCTGGAACTTGTATGTTTTCTATTTTTTCTGGGTCCTGAATATTCTCTTGTACGTTGTTTTGTATATTGATTAGGACCTTTGTTATCTTTATTTTGTTCTTACATCCTTTGTTACCAAGGGGCTTGTTTTATTCGATTTTACTGTGTCTATCAAGCACAGTCCAACTCTTTTTTCCTCTTGTTTTTTCCTTAACCGCTACATTCTATCTCCTTTTTACGTAACTCCGGGCCAAGTAGAATAAAAACTCGGTATTCACATTAAGTTGAATTCCGAGTTGCTTGTATGTAATGGAGAGTGTATGGGATTAGGGTTCAAGGCGGGTCTCGTGCGTAGACCTCCTCGTGGTGAGACCTGGTAATTGATATCGGTTTACAAACATTAAAGTTTGTAAAACAATATCAAGCTAAGAACTACGCAACCTACAGTTCAGTTTAGATCGTGCAAATTTCTTTCCATTCTTTATTTCACGATCTGAACTGAACTGTAGGGACAATTAGTTGATAAGTGAATTTACCAAAACAAAGTGTGTTTACACCAAAAAAATGTAATTAAACATTTGAAGCAAAATTTCAATTCCGACTGGAAATTTTTGAAAATTTTTCAAAACAAAGAATGTTTACACCAAAAAAATGTAAGTAAACACTGAGAACCAAAACAAACAATCAACAAAATGTAAATAAACATTGGGAACCAAAATAAACAGACCAATGTTTGCAAACAAAGCAAAATTTCAAGGTTTTCGAAATTCCGATTGCAAATTTCTGAAAATTTTTGGAAACAAAATGTGTTGACATCAAAAAAATGTAAATAAACATTGGAAACCAAAACAAACAATCAAAAAAATGTAAATAAACATTGGAAACCAAAATAAACAATCCAGTGTTTGCAAACAAAGCGAAATTCCAAGGTTTTCGAATTCCGATTGCAAGTATACTTACCTATACTTACCCAGTATCTATGAATTATCCACAAGTGTTAGAAATGATTTCATAATAATTCACTTAGAACTAAGTTAACATACGAATACTTACCCATATTTACCTAGTATGAACTGTCCACACGCATTGTAGAACATTACATTGCATAATAAATTACTTAATAAACTATAGCACTTGAAATATATATATATATATATTCATATGTATATCAAAAACGTTAAAATTTCGCTTTCTTTGCAAACACTGGTCTGTTTATTTTGGTTCCCAATGTTTATTTACATTTTTTTGATGTCAACACATTTTGTTTTCAAAAATTTTTGGAAATTTACAATCGGGATTTCGAAAACTTAGAAATTTCTCTTTGTTTGCAAACATTGGTCTGTTTAATTTGGTTTCCAATGTTTATTTACATTTTTTTGACTGTTTGTTTTGGTTTCCAATGTTTATTTACATTTTTTTGATGTCAACACAATTTGTTTTCGAAAATTTTTCGAAATTTGCAATCGGAATTTCGAAAACTTTGAAATTTCGCTTTGTTTGCAAACACTGGTCTGTTTATTTTGATTTCCAATGTTTATTTACATTTTTTTGATTGTTTGTTTTGGTTTCCAATGTTTATTTACATTTTTTTATGTCAACACACTTTGTTTTCAAAAATTTTTGGAAATTTGCAATCAGAATTTCGAAAACTTTGAAATTTCGCTTTGTTTGCAAACACTGGTCTGTTTATTTTGGTTCCCAATGTTTATTTACATTTTTTTGATGTCAAATACACTATGTTTTCAAAAATTTTCGGAAATTAGCAAGTGGAATTTCGAAAACTATGAACATAATTCTTTGAAATGTCTCATTCGTATTGCCGGTGAATTTGAAGATTAATCACTTCCTCATAGATTTCGACGATCTCTAAATATTATTTATATGTTAATTATTTATAATGTGAAAATAATTTAAATAAATATTATTCATAATATAAATAATAGTAATAATTTGAAAATTTAGTGCTGCGGTGTAAAATCTGCCTGAATCGGTACGATAGAATGTGACACAAAAATGATAAGGAGGTCTTGAGACCCTCCAATCGTGAGCCTATTGCAATAATAATAATAAAGCTCGACATCTCTACTTTCTAATAAAGTCACGTGAATGATGACTACGTCATTTAATTTCCTAACACCTTATATATAAAATTCAGCATTCAGCATTAAATTAAATAAAAATATTTAGGCACATGGGTACAGTTTATGATATTATATATTAATAATAATCATAATAATCTTTATGTATTTAAATACATATTTTCTATAAATTGGTTACGCATTATATATCTATATATAGTATTTATTTTATTGTATTATATTAAATAATATATTACTATTTACGAAAACAATTTCCCTTAATAATGGTTTTAAATATGTACCTAATTTTTTAAATCTCTACATTTCAATTGTACTACCTGTAACGAATTTTGAATTTAAAAAAAATAAATTTATAAAAGTAAAATTGATAATCGATGAAAGTAAATCTATCTATATGAATCGGAATATTTTCTATTTTTCTGTAATAAAAGTTAACCATATCGAAGATATAAATGTATCGTCTGTATTTTTAACTTTTATCAAGCAACATTAAAATAAATAATATATATATATATATATTTAGTACAAAGGAAAATATTTTTATTTGTAAACGAAACGAATTTTATTTTCTTTTATGCATTAAATTAATAATAATTTATTCTACAATATCATTTTTCTTCCGATTTTCATTAATTTTGTGCCTTTTAGCATTTTTATCTTAAAAGCTTTTTTAATATATTCAAATATTCCATTATTCTTAAATTTTCTCAAAAAGAAATAAATTGTTAATTAATGTTTTTTTAGAAACAAAGTTTATTTTAGTTTTTTATTCGATACATTTAATATTTGTCATTCCAATTGTTGAAAATTAATTTTGACGAAGAACATTATTTTTATATTTGCATCTGTATATGCATTTATATTTATGTTAAGAAAAAAGTAATAGCAATCAACAGTATTAAAAGCTAAAAATAAAAGTTTGATATACAAAATATTTTGTATAATATTTTATATTCATTAATATTTTATAAATATTTTATATTTAAATAGTTTAATATAGTAATTGGTGCATTAGTCCTAATGGAATTATATATCAACTCTGTTAGAAGGAAACATTATCTCAAATTCCATTGACTATAATTGCAATTACTTGTACGTATTTGGTTTTTTCATCTAAAACTAAACTTATCACAATTACGGTTACTTGATTGTTGATAGTTTATCAATGAAAAATGATATTTGTAACGTATATATAAAGAGGAAGACAGGTTTGATCGTCAGTATAATAGTAATAGGGATAAAATACAACTGAAGAGAATTGAGCATCTTCCAAAGTGAAAATGAAAGGTAAGTTAGTTACAATAAATTCTAATAAAAATAATTGCAATGTAAAGATTAATAAAGTGTAAATTTAAATTTGTTGTCAAACATTTCTCTTCTTGAAAAATCAAGTAATATATTAAGTTTTTAACTATCAATTTTTTAAATATTTAACAGTTCGTTAGTGAACTGTTATTTTAAATATTTTTCTGACACGAAATCTATTCAAAATAGAAGTAGCTAGAATACTAACTTTATAAATTAACAGAACACATAATAAATTAATTTCTACTAGTTTAAATGAATTTCTTTGTGAATTATAATATCTTATACTATATGAATATTTATATATTAATAATTGAAAGAAAACGAAACTTACATTCTATCACTACGAGATATGATATTAACTAATATTGTTTGATTATTTCAGCAACATTCGTGGCGATATTAGCCACGGTTGCGTTTGCATTTGCTGCTCCACCGCAGTGTCCGGATGTAAATGGAGAAAATGTTACATTATTATTGTTTGCGAATCCAGATGACTGCTCGACGTTCTTTTACTGCGATGAAGGCATACCATGGTTAATGGAATGTAACGAAGGGCTTGAATATAACCCAGTGCTAAGAGTATGTGATTACTCGAGACAGAATGCAAACTGTATACATCGTTCTTCAAGACCAGCAGGTCCTTCATTCAGCTCTGAATCTGAAACCTCCGACAGTCCACCACCACCACCAAGTCCTCCATCCAGCCCTGCACCTGGATCTTCTAGCAGACCACCACGACCACCACCACCACCACCACCTCCTCCACCATCTAGCTCTGCACCTGGATCTTCTAGCAGACCACCACGACCACCACGTCCTCCACCATCCAGCCCTGCACCTGGATCTTCTAGCAGACCACCACGTCCTCCACCATCTAGCCCTGCACCTGGATCTTCTAGCAGACCACCACGTCCTCCACCATCCAGCCCTGCACCTGGATCTTCCAGCAGACCACCACGACCACCACCACCACCACCACCTCCATCTAGGCCACCACGTCCTGGTAGACCAAGTCCTCCACCTCGCACAACGTCAGTCTACTAAGGCTATCTTGTCCAATAGGTGCAACTTGTCCACAAAGGTCGCCTCGGTCAATTTGGCCACATTTTCCATACTGGCCATGTCTTCCTTCTTGTCTCTGCCCTTCTGAAAGTTAGATGATAATAACGAAAAGTAACCTGTCTTATGGTTAATACAAATTGTTAATGTCATTAAAATTTTCAATTTTGGCTCTCATTATATGTTTGAAATTTATTCGATATAAATGAATTGTAATAAATATCTTTGAATTTAATCCTTTGCATTTTATTACTCATTTCTTAGACATTTAAGGTTCCAATAAATTACCGCAGCAACGATTTCTTTAGAAATATAGAAAGATACATCTCATTTTTGTGAAATAAAAGAATGTTGTGTCTCGATTCTTCCAAAACGCTGCCACTACGGTGACAAACTGTTCATCTGCATCAACGATTTACGATGCATATATTTTATTGACTGTTGAGCAATGATACACAATAATTTGTGAAATTATTGATCAATTCTTTACAAATTATTGTTTAAAATTTATGTACCCCAAATTATTGTTTAAAATTTATGTAGCCTAAATCTGTAAAAAAGTGTATATTATAGATTTATAGTTTTAATAACATATGTACAGCGTCTTACGTTCAAAAGTCTAAAATTATAACATCTAGAAAAATGCAGCATTCAGTGATAGATATTGAAATAATATTAAAATTTTGAATGTATTTTTACCAAAGATACATTTTTTTTTTTAATTTTTTGAATTGTTGTGCGTAGATTGATTTATCGATATAATGCAAATTTCAATGTTTTCTTTAATCGGCAGGATTATTGTAGCCCTTAATATAATTAAAATTATTATTTTTTTCTATTTATTCTGGTTTGTGTAAGTTAAAAGATCTAAAGAAACGATAGCCTCAGAGAGTCGATATATTTCTAATTATCAATTTTTTATTTCATTCAAATTTTATTTGAGTTCTCTTATTTCGAACGAACAATATAAAAATTTTGTATGTAGAATTAAAATAAAACCACAGAAGAAACTTTTATTTGTAGATGAAGCACATATATAAAATAGATTTCAATAGATCTTAAATTTCATGTTGCAAATTTTCTAATAAGAAACCAAAAATTATATATTCGTCGTCATGTTAGGAGATTTACCCTGTATTATTAAATTCTTGTTTTTTATATTATATATTAATTTCAATATTATGCTGAAGTGAATTACTTAAAATGTCAATGTTATATTCTTCATCCATTAAATATAATGGTATTATAAATATAGTTCTTCAAGATTAATTGGAACTGTAACATCATTTTCCAAGACAACAGTTCATTTGCGACCTACGGTACCTTATAGACTTTTGTTCCATGTAACATCTAGAACAATAATAATAGTAAAACCGAAATTAAGCTCGAAATCTCTACTTTTTAATAGAATCACGTGAACGATGGCCACGTCATTTAATTTCCTAACACCTTATAAATATAAAATTGTAGTATATAAAATTCAGCATTCAGCATTAAATTATATAAAAATATTTAGGTACATAGGTACAATTTATGATATAATAATTATTTTTATGTATTTAAACACATATTATACAAATTATTTACGCATTTCTATATGTAGTATTTATTGTATTGAAAAATATGTTACTACATTTACGAAATCAATTCTCCTTAATAATGGTTTTGTGTTGTATGTATCTAATTTTTTAAATCACTAAATACATTTCAATTGTACCACCTGTAACGAACTCTGAATTAAAAAATCGATAAAAGTAAATTCATCTATACAAATCGGAACATTCTCTACATTTCGATAATGAAAGATAAGCACATCAAAGAAATAAATGTTTCGTTTGTATTTTTAACTTTTATCAGACAGGTAACATCAAAGTAAATATATTTAGTACAAAGGAAGATACTTACCTTTATTTGTAAATGTGATACGAATTTTATCCCTTTATATTATCCATTATTATTTTAAATTATTAATAATTCGTTATGTAATATCATTTTTCTTCCATATTTTCATAAATTTTGTATCTTTTAACATTTTTGTCTCAAAAGCTTTTTTAATGTAATCAAATATGTATTTCGTTATTCTCAAATTTGTGATTGCAGTCTTTTTTCATTTAATTTCTTAAAAGAGAGTTAATTGTTGATTGTTGATCTTTTAAAAGTTTATATTGCTTTTTTATTTGATACTTTTAACATTTATTATTCCAATTGTTAAAAATTATTTTTAATGAATTCCTTCAACTTGTTCTATTTACATTTATTTTTATATTCATATTTATATTCGTATTTGTATATGTATTTATACTTAAGAAAAAAGGAACAGCAATCAACAGTATTAAAAAATTAAAAATAAAAGTTTGATATATAAAATATTTTATAGTTTAATATAGTAATTGGTGCATTAGTCTTATAATGGAATTATATACCAACTCTGTTAGAAGGAAACATTATCTCAAATTCTATTGACTATAATTACAATTACTTGTACGTATTTAGTTTTTCAATCACTAAACTTATCACAACATGGTACGATTAATAAATTATTTGATTGTTGATAGTTTATCAACAAAAAAAGATATTTGTAACTAATATATAAAGAGGAAGACAGATCTGATCGTCAGAACAATAGAAATAAAATACAACTGAGAAGAATTGGGCACCTTCAAAACTGAAAATGAAAGGTAAGTTAGTTACAATAAATTTTAATAAAAATAATCGCAATGTAGAGATTGATCGAGCATAAAATTGAATTTGTTACCAAACATTTCTCAAAAGTTAATTAATTTCTTGAAAAATCGAGTAATATATTAAATGGTTTTGCGCATCAATTTTATTAATATTTAACAGTTTCTATTGAACTGTTATTTTAACATTTAATTTTAACGTTCAGTTAGTTAAACATTTTTCTGACATTTATGAATGAAACTTGTACAAAACAGAAATATTAATTTTGTAAATTAACAGAATTTATTATATTATAATAAATTAATTTCAGTAGTTTAAATGAATTTTTTGGTTAATTATAATATCTTATTAGTGTTAATAAACGAATTGAAAGAAAACGAAACTTATATTCTATCACGAGAAATATTAACCAACATTGTTTAATATCTATTTCAGCAACATTCGTGGCAATATTAGCCACAGTTGCATTCACATTCGCCACTCCACCAGAGTGTCCGAAGAAGAATGGAGAAGATGTCATTTTGCTTCCGAATCCAGATGACTGCTCCACATTCTATTACTGCGATGAAGGCATAGCATATTTAACGAACTGTAGCAAAGGGCTTGAATATGACCCAAAACTAAGGATATGTGGTTATCCGAGAGAGGATGCAGACTGTATACGTCGTCCTACAAGGCCATCCAACTCTGCACCTGCACCCTCCAACAAAACAACACCACCATCTTGTGCATGTGGCTGTACACCTGAAACTACTACGCCTCCTCCATGTAACTGTACTACTACACCTGAACCCTGTATAACACCGCCTCGTCCATGTAACTGTACTACTACACCTAAACCCTGTATAACACCGCCTCCTCCATGTAACTGTACTACTACACCTGAACCCTGTACAAAACCGCCTCCTCCATGTAACTGTACTACTACACCTGAACCCTGTACAAAACCGCCTCCTCCATGTAACTGTACTACTACACCTGAACCCTGTACAAAACCGCCTCCTCCATGTACTACTACACCTCAAACTACTACTACACCTCAAACTACTACTACACCTCAAACTACTACTACACCTCAAACTACTACTACACCTCAAACTACTACTACACCTGAACCCTGTACATCAACACCATCGCCTCCATGTACTACACCCTCAACTGAACCCACTACTACACCATCTCCTAGTACACCATGTCCTACGAGACCACCTCGTCCTCCAAGACCACCTCGTCCTACGAGACCACCTCGACCAACTCGTACACCAAGACCACCTCGTCCCACGAAACCAACTCGTCCACCTCGTCCACCAAAGCCAACTCAAGCACCAAGACCGCCTCGTCCACCGAGGCCCCCTCATCCAATTTGCCCTCCAAATGGGCCATGCCATCCAGTTTGGCCATGCCCTCCAAATTGGCCATGTCCTCCTCCAAGTTGGCCATTACCTCCTTCTCGTCCTTGCCCTGAAAATAAGTCAGATGACAATGACGAAAAGTAACTTGTCTTATGGTTAATATGAATTGTTAATGTTACTAAAATTTTCAATGTAGTTGGCTCGCATTATATGTTCGAAATCTATTCAATATAAATGAATAAATATCTTTGAATTTAATCTCTCGTGCCTTTTTTTAATACCTCGTTGTTCATTTTTTATGTTAATTTTTTATTTACATGTTAGGTTCGATTTCTTTGGAAATATAGAAAGATACATTTCACTTTTGTGAAATAAAAGAATTGTGTCCCTATTCTTCCAAAATACTGCCACTGCGGCGATTTGTTGCAAATTGCTTGCCTACGTCGATGATTTACGATGCATATATTTTATTAAATTTGTGAAATTATTCATCGATTCTTTACGAATTATTGTTTAAAAAATTTAAGATATTGGGACTTAAAATTACATACTTTAAACTTATAAAAAGATATAATTTTAATAATGTATCTTAAGTTCAAATATTTAAAATTAACGATGTTACAGCATTTAGAAAAATGCAACATTTCAGTGATATTGAAGTGATATTAAAATTTCAAATATATTTTTATCAAAAATAAAACATCATTCTTTGAATTGGTGTGCGTAATATTTTAAAACTAATTTAGAATGCAAATTTCGATACGGTTTTCTTTATCGACTTATTATAGTCTAATAATTCTTTATAGAATTATTATAGTCCGTAATATAATTAAAATTACTATTTTTTCTATTTATTCTTCCGTAAGTTAAAATTCTAATTATCAATTTTTCATTCCATCCAAGTTTTGTTTTAGTTCTCTTATTTCGAACGAACAATATAAAAAGTATTTTTTTAAATTTAATGTTATATGTGTTACCATAGAGGTATGTATATATAATTACTAAAATATGAATAAAGATACTGATTAGAGAATTTCCTTTTTATAAAAATACTAAAAATTTCATGAAAATACGTTCATTCTACAGTAGAATATAATATGATTTTTTATTGTATATACAAATCTATCACTGTATATATAAATTAATTAAAAATTTTTTGATTGAAATTGTTAAATTAACAAAAATCCTTTTAAACTGTATTGAAACTAAATGTAAGAAAATATTGAAAACATTATAATTATGAGAAAATGAATAGTAAAGCGTTGTAAATTATTTAATATAAAATATAATAAAGTATATATAATAAAAAATAAAAATTATGATGTAGTGTAAACATTAAATAAAAATTGTTTATTTTATTTTTTAAATTAAGACGTATATTTTATACAGACATTTTATATTATAAAAACTATTGTTATTATTATTATTATTATTACGATTAATATTATTAATAATACAATAAATTTTTATTGAATAAAAAAGTTAGAACTAATCAAACAATAAACCAAACTGCAAATCGAAAAGTGATGTGTTTCTTATAAGAAAATTTGTTAATTTATTCAAAATATAATTTAAATAATTCGCGCGATTATTAACATCATTCTGAAGATAGCTGTTATACGAATCAACGCATGCGCGTTGCAAGTACGGTTTAGTGCAGAGCAGTAGAGATATGGAGCATGCCTCTCTGAACCTCTCTTATATGGTTCTTTAGCTCATATGCGACCTCTACTACACGCATATGTACTTATTTATGTAGACGTGGCCATATAGATTAAGTGTTTATAGTCTATGGTGTACTGACAGTGTTTTGCAATTCGTAGTTTAGTAATCTTTTGATGGCAGTGTTTTTAAGCCGCGTGGTGCCAACGTCACTGTAAGGATGAGTGGTGCATCACGTAAAGTGAAAAATCCATTATTATCAGCTGCTGGTGAAGGCTTTCCATTTGAAAATTACACGGAAAATGCATTTTTGGTGCCTGTTACGCCTGCTACACCATTCAGCGATGGTGAGTCTGTTAATGAAACACCTGGGTGGGGCTCTCATAGACTCATATTTTCCTAATCTTGTTGACATGTGACGATATCTGCGAATGACATTTGTCATGAAATTATTTATCATGTATGTTTTCTTGTTTGTTTGTTTGACTTATTTCCACACACTTGCAGATATCATGTGTATCTTGGTAAACATCTGTAGGTATTGTTACATATTGTTTGTCACAAGTTGGAGGTCAATTTATACTTCACTTATTTTGTTGCAAATGAGTTATTTTATTTACTCAGTATTTGTGTATATGTTACATAAGAATTCATTACTGAATGACTTTATATGAATATGGAATTTATATTATATCTAGCATATAATTGTATATAATTGTAGAATAAACTGGCTTAGTCTATTTTCTTTAATCAAGCAATTGTATTGTATTATAAAACCAAGTACTTATAATGGGTTTTGTGCATTAAGTTTTCCAAATTTGTTTCATTGAAGTATGTTTACTTTATAATTACAGTGAGCCATACTTTATATTTCCAATATTAAAATTATAATATTATATATTTAAATTGACTTTGATCGTCCTTTAAATATTAAATAAAATTATTGTTGCATATAGAAATAAGATTATAATAAAAATTTATTAACAACATTTTATATACATTATTACAGATATAATTAATATAATTGCATCTTAGATCTAATGTTAATTTGTAATATTAACTTATATAATAATAAGAATTGAATACTCAGATTATATCATGGTTTGATATATGTTTTAATTTTAATAAAAGATTAGACATTAGTTCTTTCTGGTTGCGTAGATGGCCTAGATCCATATCGTTGTGTATAAGGAAAATCATGACTTTTCCTTCTTTGAATGCAATATATGATTGAAACAATGATTACAATAAGGAGAAGCAAAGCTAACAATGCCCCCATTGTAATAGCTGCAATTTGTGCTTCTGATAAGTTGTTCCATGCTGAAATGTGTAATCACATTTGTTTTATTACAAAAAATAAAACATGTTCATCACTTTTTTTGGAAAGTAATGAAAATTGAAAAATAGGTTTATAAATTTATTTATTTAGTTGATATAAGAATATTAATGAATATAAAAACAATAATGTAATAATTACCTGTGACATCTATTGTCATAGTGTTGTAATTATTTAATAAATCTATTGCTGTAATTTCGACAATCTTATCACAACACGTGGCAGAATAATAAAATGTTACAGGACTTCTTGTGCCACTAATAAATTCCGTACGTGGATAAATATTGTTTATTGATGACATGACACGTTTTAAACCTGTATAAAAAAGTTAAAATTTCTTTTTTATTTAGAAACTTTAGTATTGATATGTTTAAATAGTATTTAAAATATTTTTAATACACATTATTTTCTAGGGAAACTGCTATTTTAATCATTGAATCACATTATCAATCAATTTTTTAATATTTTATAAATAATCGTTGTTTATATTATTCATAAAATAGTTATTTCAGTCGCGCCTATTTCTATTTTCAATATATATGATTCGATATAAATTTTAAAATAAAATCTTTTTTATTTTAAAGAGTTTCATATTTTTATACTTGTAAACAAATGAACTTTAGATTAACTTAGTGTGAGTAAGACAGCAAATATAATTTATTGTTAATTTGTTTACAACAAGAAAATGAAAAAGAAATTTTCGTTTGTTGTCAGTTAGAACATTGTAAGAAATTAATACCTGAATCGTAGTCCTGAATTGTGATATCAATGCTCCAACGAGATTTATAGCATCTGTCTTTTTCTAATTTTCCAGCACAGTTATCATTGAAAGAGTATTCCATAGTTGGTTTTACATTATCGGTTAGCTATAATGACATAACGCAATAAAATTTATGATGGAAATTATATCGATGTAAACATTTTTATTAATTAATGTTATTTCAATATTTATGTTTTTGACAATAACAGAAGTAATAATATTTTCATTCTTAAACTCTTCATTAATAAAATTTTATAAGTTTAATTATAAAAATACATGTAACGTTAATAGTTAAAATTAAAATTATTTGCCATATTTAACAAAATTTTATTAAATAATTAAGAGTATTTGAATTTGGTTTATACTTTGTTGTCAAGAGAATTAAAAATGTGATTTAAAGAATTAATTACAGAACATAATTTTTCAAATATATTTGTACGATTTTTGTTAAAAATTTGATAAATGGTTCCATCGTTTTGAAATATTTAATACGTTATTTACTTTATAAGTCATCAAAGTAAAATTTTAATTTTTAAATATTTATTCAATAATTGTTTGAAATATATTATTTTCATAATTAATAAGAAGAATCTAAAAATATAATTATATTTAGAAAAAAATTTTTTGCGTAATTAGTTTTTGTGATTAATTTTTTTCTAATGATTACCTCTAAAAGTGGTCCTTGCACATATAAGTATACAGATTTTTCTTTTATTTTTGTACCCAAAATAGATAATGTTACAGTATTAGTTGTATCTGGTACAGCACTATTGGGTACCTCTAAATCTATCGCTACATTGCTTATCTGTCCAGGATATACCCATGTGCTAGAATATAATTAGTGCTGTAGTAAAATAAGTTGTTATATTACATAATGAAAAATGAAACAGTGTTAATATTAGAATAGTAGTATTTGAATTAGTCAACAATTAGACAGAATCCTTTATATTCATTTTTATTCATTCAGTCATCAATTTTTACACACATCTATGATTCTATTTTAGATTTTACTTTAAATAATATTAACTGATTTAAATTATTTATAAATTATAATGTCCATAATTCGGATGATTTCTATCTCTGTTGATATAAAACAATTTTACTTTAAATAATATTAACTGATTTAAATTATTTATAAATTATAATGTCCATAATTCGGATGATTTCTATCTCTGTTGATATAAAACAATTTTACTTTAAATAATATTAACTGATTTAAATTATTTATAAATTATAATGTCCATAATTCGGATGATTTCTATCTCTGTTGATATAAAACAATATTATATCAAAATTTTATTTTGGAATACATGTAAAATTTTTATTTTTATTACAAATCACAGATTTTCACTATATTGTGAATTTTACCATATGCATATAAAAATATAAAAAAAAATATGAATAAACATGGATCAACTTTATAGATATATGTGTAATAATATATTAATTTAATCACTAAAATAAGATATTAAATTAACCACTAAAATAAATTATAAATTTGCTTATATTATAGTATAAGTAGGTGGTATTATAATTACATATATAAATTAGAGAGCTACAAATTTATTCAAATTTTAAATAATTTTCAGTTAAAATAAGTATTCTGTTAAAATAAGAACAATCTTTGTAATTTGTTTGATATCTTTTGAAATGATGTTTCAAATTGTTGCGAATTGTCAAATATTATTGTTTAAATATCTGCCAATTATGAAAACTATAATTTTATAAATAATTTGATGTTTTATTCTAAAATTCTTTTTTTATATAGAATATCTTTTGTATGTAGGTCTAATAAAAAAGACTTTTATTGTCTATGAATAAATAAAGTATAATCTTGAAGCTATTTCTCTATAGTTAATATTACATAACATTTTTTTCTAATAAATTTTAAATCTTTATTAAGTTTTTTACCCGACTTATATAATCTAATTCTGTAACTAATCGTATGATGATACGATTGACGTCGAAATTGGCAGATTAATGAAATTATTGTATCGATATATACATGTGGATAACATATTGATGATTATATACATATAAAAGAGAATGTTAATCATTGAAATAATAGAAGAAAACAAAATCACTTGTATATCCTACAAGTTTAGTTATAATTGTATTTTCTGTGAAAGTGTTTTAAGTGAAAGTTATTTGCTTCTTCGAATATATGCTATTTTATAAAAATTAATGAAAAGAAAAAGATATAACTTTCAATTCAATAAATTTTCAGTTATCATACAACAATAAAAAGAGAAAATATAATTTAAAAATGTGATTAATAAAATAAATTTATAAAATATAATTAATCTTTAAAGATTATGATAGGTGAAATTTCACTTCGTGCAAATTTTGTTTTAATTATGTCTATTTATTTATTCAGAATCATTGAAAATAATAATTTGTCTGTTTTTCATCTAGTATATTGAATAATAATAATAATGAAATATTTAATCTTATTAATTTTGTGAATTGAATGCTGAATCACTTTGTTGCAACTTGTAACTCATTTGATACTGCAGTTTTTATTATTTTATTATATAAAATATTAAAAAATAATGAAATGATGCTGAAAAATAATAATAGCAAAATTTATTACACACTATGAGTCATGATGACTCTTCATTTATATACAGCGTCGTTGCTCAAACATTCAAGAGAACAAAAAAAAATATATATATTGTCATAAATTCATGACAATATATCTTTATAATATAGCTTTTAAGCATTAAAATTTTATAACTTACGAAATTGGTTGAACGTTATACACTCTGAAAGGAAAGCTGTTTACTCTGTATGTATATTTGACAGGCAAAACACAGCTATTCATTACATCAAATATTATTCTGTGTGTCCTTCCTGGTGAGACAAGCAATTTGCTGTTCTTGTTTATCTCTATCAGTATTTTTTTCTCCTCGATAATATTTTCGCTGCCATAATTTACCAACTCTTCAGATAATTCACTATTATCCAAAGATTCTATCATCCTTGTAGATATATTAACAGTTTTCTGTATTGGTGTTTCGATATCAGCGTCAACGTTTTCGATTACTCCAATCGAAGATCTTCCTCGAAGTTTACCTTGCTCCTGTATCAATCGCGTATTATGTTTTAGCATGTGAGAGTAAGGATTATAAGCAACGTAAAATAAAATAAATTTCTTAATCATTTCTTATCGTTTCAAAAGTGACCAGAAAAATTAAATCAGTTTTGTTCGTTTATCATATTTTTAAAGGGAAATTTTCTATGCAAAAAGTTTTTTTTTATCGTACAGCATAAGGAACTGTAAAGAAAAATATATCTTCCTATTTGAGAAAGAAACCTTGAACATACCTAACAAATAAAAAGCAAATATGACAGTTGTATTTTCTCCTCAAAATTATGAAATTTTATATTTTTCCCGGAAAAGTGTTGTTTTTGACATATTTGAACTGGACATTTTCGAATAAACACATTGTACATATGTATGTATCTTTCGAATGATGTCAGACGTTCGGATTATTTTTTAATATTATCATTATGTATAGATTCGTTGACTCATCTGTTTCTTGCAATCATTCTATGCGCGATAAATTCGTTTGAAATGAAACAAAATAATAAAAATTCTAATTTTTAAATAATTTTTTAAGTGCAACCCATGTATCTTAATAATCAAATGTTGTATTTGTAAACAAATAAATATTATATTTATCCTTGTGACAAATTAGTATTTGTTTTAAGTAAGTATTTTATTTTGATTTAGTGAATAATATTCATGGTGTACTAAATTAATTTCAACCTTCCAGACCATGTAATTTGAAAGTTCTATATTCATACATCCATATTTGTTTTGTCTATTTATTGTTTCACTATTGTAGTCTATGATGTACTTATTGCTTTATTATTATTACAGAAATAGATAATATTCTTTTATATTAATATTAAATCTTTCCTGAACGTAATTCTGAATTAAATACTTATCTAGTAATATAACAATATATATATATATATATATATAAATATATATATATATATATATATATATATATATATATATATATATATATATATTGAATGAGAATTAAATACTTATCTCGTAATGTAACAATAATATTATAAATAATATTATTTATTCAGTTAATATGAATGAAAATTTTATTCTCTTTACCTCTATTGGAATCATTGGTTCAACAAATTTTTCGTTCGAAGAAATCGAGGTAGTGGATGGACTTTTATCGATATGTAAAGTAACATACTCGATAAAATTAACAAGCATGCTTTCGGTATTAGGAGTAATTATTGATAAATTATTTTCTGTAGAAGTTTCTTTCATTTGCTTGTTTGCTTCTTCATCTTGAACAAGATATTTTAATGATCGTTCTCGAGTTGTTTTTTTATTTCTCATTAATGTCTCAGTAGTTGGAATATCTATATTTTGTTGTTCATCCGCAGTTCTTTCAGAATGAAGCGCCTAAAGAGATTTATTACGCGTTAATATAGTTTTCTATTTCAAATTTATTTTAAAAATAATACCATTATAATGTATTACCATTATTTTATCATTGAATGTCTCTTTATCATCTTGAGATATATTATCCTTTGTATTTGAACGATCACGTCTACTTACTTTATTATTTCCTGTAAAAATAATTTTGTTAGATACTATGCAAATGTTGAAATATATTTTTTTTAGTAGAAATTCATCAATGATTAGTTATAAATGTTTAATAAAAGATCGTTTGCAAATTTTGTAATAGCTATTATTTTACAGTCTATTAAAACTTTAACGTAGACCATAGATTGAGAAACTAGCGGTAAGTATAGAAGTGTCCCTCATATATAGATAGTATGCAAAATAAAGCTTGAACATGTTACTATAATTAAATTTTTGGATGTGTCTGTATATAACTTTTGCAAGCATTTACAAAAGAGCTTCTCATAACTTGATAAGTTCATTATTCGAATATTCTAATGTCTAAACTTCGTATGAACTATTGGCGACCAGGATGGATTTTATTCCACTGTTCTTCAATTCTCTTTAATTATTCAAAAGTCGATATCGATAGATATTTATAAAAGATATTGATATACGTCTGTAGATATTTACAGGATATTTTTCGTTTTAAGAATCGCCATAGATTCGCAATGAGATTCGGACTCTGCAAACCATATCGTTATGACAAATTTCCGTGTTTTGAATTCGTTTTTGTTGGTTAAGATCCCACTCATATTGAAAACAACCATATCTAATCAATTGCTGCGTAAAATATTGTTATAAGTATACTTGATTCATTGTAATGGGTTCATCCAGTATAACGATTTTACTCGTACCGCATGAAATGAAATTGAATTAATAAATTCTTTTGTTGCAGGTACATAAGAAATATTTGCAACTTTGAAAAATTGTTTAGATTAGTATTAATTGCGTGAAATATCTTTTGTCAGCGTGCAGAACAGAATGAGGAAACTACGAACGCTTAAGGAGGATAGTAAATTAAACCAATCCCCTTGATAACAAAACATCAATTATTTGTTTACAAAATCAATACAAATTGTTGGATAATAAAACTTGAATAAAACCAATTCCGTAATTACCTGTAATCGTAGCAATTGGAGTAAAATTAGAAACGTAAGATAATTGCCAACAGGCCGGAGTAAATACGAGCAGATCATTCTTCTGTTTCTTTACAGACAAAACCGAAAACTCCACTGCATTTCTTACGTGCATATTTTTGACATATGTACTATGCATATTCAGTTCAATTTTCTGTGGATTATTATGGATAAATGGGTAGGCTTTTCCTACAATTCTTATGTTACTACTTTTAAAATTTCGAAGATGTACTTTCGCTCGCGGACGTCCGCATTGCCTTCAAATGAACATGAAATATTATAATTAAGAAATAGTAAATAAATACAGATATCAGCTAGTTGAAAATTCTTGCATCATTATCCTACAGAGGCTACGCGATATAAAAATTATAACGGATGAAATTTACGGATAAGAATTTCACGGAACTTATCCCCGTAAATGTATGTGATTTCCCATTGAAACTGTTTGCTTGATATTAAGAATAATAACAAAAAAGAGAGCACGAAACGATGAAAGGGAGGATATCACCGCGCTTGGGTTTACCCCGTTATTTCCCCATTATCTTATTGTTAACGACACTGAATGATGATTTCCTCAAAATCTTTAACCACTGATGTAATTACACTCTTTAATTCGGGTAATTGCGAATGCATCTTATCTTTTCCAGAAATCGTGTTTGTCGAATTTCTTTTTTTCGCATGAGTTCGAGCTTGGTGGTCCATAAAAACAAAGTAAAAAAAGAAAGGAGGAGAAAAGAATTGGCAAATCTCGATTTCCTCTTCCTGTGTGCTGCGTGCGTCAGCCAAGCCTGATCAAAGGGCAGCTCATCGTCGTCACGTGTTGCACAACAGTTCGTGTATCTCTAGCCAGAAACCAACGACTCGGTTGGCAGTTGTCAGATGGACGACGCTTCGCGAACAAGTATTTAACGACGTGCTACTCCGTTAGTGAATTCGTACACGACGCGTTTGCCGAGACAGTTCACGCTAGAGACCATCGAGCCGATTTATTGGATATACCTGACCTTCGAGAATTGTTTCAAACGAGCATTACGCTTTCACCATTATCGATTGATCGTCGTTTCAAAAGGTTGTCTGGGTAAGCTCTCGTGTGCTGGTCGTTGGAAATTCTGATCCTTTGCACTTGGAATTGTCAGTTGTTCTGGCTCGAATTTTTTGGTGTTGCAAATACACATTAAGTCTCGTGGTATTGTTTATTTTTATGAAATTAATTGGTTATTAGCAGACCGCGGATTTTTATTCACTTTTGAGAAATTTAAAGATGCTAGATGTAAAAAGAACGCACGCAGTATTCAAAAATGTAATTCTATGTTACATTTCAAATGTAATTTTGCTTGGATAACTACGTTTTCTTTAATTGTGTTCGTAAAAATTTGAAATTGCATAAAGATTGCATAAAGTAGTTGACGTGAATTCTCACGTGATCGATTCAGATAAATAACCATAGATTATTTATAAATTATTTTAATATTATTATTAAATAAATATAATATTATAATTATTTATAAATAACTATAGAATAACCATAGATATGTAGATTGTTGAAAGTATAATTACTAAATATCTTAAGTAAGAAATTTATATTAATATTTCATTCTAGATTTTTAATCAGTAAATAGTGAAGGCTCGTGCATTTTTTGGAAATCGAAAGTATTTAAAAATTTACAAAATGCATATAGTGTGTAAATATATATTTATATGAATTCTGTATATAAAATATCAACGGTAGAGTACTTGTTATGATGAAACAAATTTTTATTATAATGCACTCCACATTTTCAAATAATCGTTCGAGCAATTGTTTAAAAGTATATCATACTTTAACAATAATAAAATATAAATGTGTATTAATACATCAATGTTTAGATGTTCTAATCATTTTCATAACGACCGTATTACAAATAAAGCAATCGTTACTTTTTCTTTAAGAATTTTAATTACTGAATTAATGAAAAAAAAATTAAAATACTTTCCAAGTGCGAAAGGATTAATTAAAAGGAATAACAATTGGATCAATGTATTTAATTGAATCATCGCATCGCGAGTATCTCGTTCACACGAACGTGCGTGTCTTCATGTTTTTCTAACTCGATATTTAAAATTTTTTTTGCTCATGTTATACAATGATAATTTGAGGATAATATCGTTTACAATGATAGTAATTATATCGATGACTTTAGCTACGTAGTAGTTATGATGTCGTGTCTATAGATATCGATATTGAATATTCGATTGTCCGTAGATTGTTGGAGGAACATGTTGAATAGGTACACGAACTTTTTTTTTTCGCATGTAAACAGTATTGATATTCATGCGTTGAAATGATGTTATGCACACTGTTCGTGAAAAGCATTGCGTAATTTGTATCCCGTTTTTTTAATTTTAATATCTATTCGAAAGATATGTTTTTATGCACCGACTACTCGTGGCTGTTTGGAATTTGTAACGATTTCTATTTCTCAGTAAAAATTTTCCATTTACAGCACACGATATCGTTCTACATTTATTTGTAAGACTGTTTTGAATTTAATAACTATTTTGATATATCTGTTTTATAAAAATTGATTTCTCTATTTATATAACTTGGTACTGGTACAGTCATGTTGCATCACTTGATTATTATCATACTTTGTTTAGTTCATTCCATTTAATTATGTGTTTGAGAAAAATGTATCAGAATTTTGGAAATATAACTTTCTAGGCAGTATTTCATTATTTGACTGATTTTGACGAATTTTTATGCATTTGTGTGCGATTTAAAAATGCAAAAGTGCAGAGAATGCAATTTAATATTTAAAAATACATAAAACTTCCAAGTGTGGTACCAGTTATATCATTTAATTTCTATTTAAGTGCTGTTTCCTTAGCAGTGTCCATAAAAATATAAATTTTCGTGGAAATTTGTAGACTATTGCAGACTATTAATAGGAAAGAATGATAATGTTTATTATTTTTTAAAATTTATCTTGGACTTTACTATTACTTGTGTCCTCAAACTTGTGGAAATATGTTTCCTGAGAATTGTGTACTTGAATGAAATTGTAAAATTTACAAAATGTGGAGTTGATTATTTACTTCTAAGAGTATCAAATACTAAATTTTATATCAAAACAACAATTTCTTTTCAATTATATGATTTTGTGTAAATAGATTTTAAATCTTGCATTAGAAAATAAGATTTACATACTATAAGTTTACATATTTGTTTATAAAAAGTTGTGTATTTAACAAGTTCTTAGATAAAAAAAAAATAGTGAAATATTCAAAATGTTTAATTATTTAATTATTTTAAATAAATCGTTTAATAATTTAATTATTTTAAATAAATCGTTTAATAATTTAATTATTTTAAATAAATCGTTTAATAATTTAATTATTTTAAATAAATCGTTTAATAATTTAATTATTTTAAATAAATCGTTTAATAATTTAATTATTTTAAATAAATCGTTTAATAATTTAATTATTTTAAATAAATCGTTTTCCAATACTTAATATATCAGAGAAATCATGCTTTTTTACACATATTTACATTGCCACCATAAATAATAATTGCATATGTAGCGTTCCTTTCACTTTCGAAACTCTTGATCTACGATTCAATATTACTGCTTCACTTTTACCTTTATTTCTTTCGCAATATTATATAATCTTCAAAATCTAAATTCCTATTACGTTTCACTCGTAACAGTTTTCCTTTTCATTTTCATCACAAACGCTCATTGTATTCAACAGAATAGAAATGTACATTTCGAAGTTTTGTTATGTATTTTCCTTTGCTTGCTATGTTTAAAAAATCTTAAATTTTTTTTAATTCAATAAATGTATCTATAAAAATGATATAAAATAAAACGATAAAATGATATGAAATAAGACGAATGTTATCTTAATATTTTACTTATTGATTATATTGTTATTTTATTGAAAATTTAAAAGAAATTCATTGTATTAAAATAGTCGTAAATTCATTTGACTATTATATAGCGTATTTATTCAACTAAAAATATATGGAAGCTGTATAGAATGAAATGAAAGAAGTGTTTTACTATGAATTTTTTAAGAAATTCATATATATATATGCATGCAATACTTAGTGACTAAAGGCACATGAAGTTGCTGATAGGTTTTAAATTTTATGCGTACTGAATTTTGATACAAGTATTGGCGCAGTCTGCATCCGAAATTATTAAAAATTCTCTTTTTTAATTATTATTCTTTTTAGTTCACAAAATTATCAAAAAATGATCAAATATTATTTTTGTAGAATATTTTTCCATTTTTAGGCTTTGAAATTTTTGAAATGTTTTTTTAATGCAAAGTTAAATTGTTTCTTAATGATGTTCGTAAAATTAAAAACATTTCGATATAAAAATGTACAAAAATTGAAAGTATTATGAGACATGGTTTCATAAAATCTAATAGAGATTCTCACTCACCATTCAATTGTAGACTCGGTGAAAACAATTTGTCCACGTCGTTCCTTTCATCGACGAAACCTTCCACTAGAACGTGATATTTCGAATCTTCCTCCCCTGTGAGTTTCATCCACCATTCGCCAGATGGCACGTTTCGCGTGTCGATTCTCACCCCTTCTGCATCGCTCTTACGTGTCCAAGATATCGCCGTTACGTGCCTTGACACTGTTGCTTCTGTTAATTAGAACACACCAAATTTCGTGCATATAGCCGTCGAAATCCTACGAATATTTCCGATGTTTGTTCATGCTCGCGAGAAAGACATTAGCCAAGCATGCAAGAAATGCTTCGCGCTGGTTTTCGAGCAGTCTAGTTGTTTGATGAGAATTAACGACGTGCACACGCGGCATAATCAGTGGATTATCGTGTGTGCGATAATATCAAGATTCTGTTTCTGTCGAAACGTGGAGGATTTGGTGCAATGCAACGAACGTGGGCGGGATTCTCCGACAGAGTGACACGGTCGATACCATGAGCCGCAGGGTGAACAAAAGTGTTCGTGAACGAAGAAAAACCGAGGGAAGAGAATAGTGGTGTTCCATTTGACTTGAAGTCATTTTTTGAACAGAATCTCCAGATGACTACGTAGGTAGTTCGTTTGTGTTACTTTCGTTACCTTGTTCTGAGTAGGGCAGTGTTTCGAACTGAGTGTTGAGAGTTTATTTGACAGTGTTTGTAAGTTTATTTTGAATGTACATAAGAATTTGTACAAATGTTGGTTGGCTTTATTGTGGAAGAAAAGTAACAATGACCATTTCTTGAAGGAGAAACCTCTCTTAGGTACTTTATTTGTGGAAGATCAGTAACATCAATTATTTGTGAGTAGAAAGTTTTATTTTACAGTGCTTGCAAAGTGATTTTTGATGTATGGTTTACCAGTATCCATTTATTATGAATTTATTATGAAAGTAAAAGAGTAGTAACATTTAATTTGATTTGAAATCATTACTTGAGAGAATCTCTAGATGACACAAGTAAATCGATCGTATTATTTATGTCAGATGTTACTTTGAAGCGAGTGTTGAGAAGTGTAGAGATTGTAAATTAATTTTGATTAATTTTGGGTATTTGCAGAAGTATAGATTTATCGTGGAAGAAAAATAACAGTGACATTTGATTTGAAATCATTAAAGGGATTTCTAAATGACATACATAGGTTGATCGATATTATTTATGGAAAGTATGTGTCACTTTCGTTCGAATGCAAAGAGTTTAATGGTGCTTGTAGTTAATTTTGAATATATAGAAATCTAAATTTTGTTTAGATTTATTGTGTAAAGGAAAACGAAGGACAATAACAGTGACACGTGATTTTATTTGAGATAATTTCTTCAATCTCTAGGTAACTAGGTCGCTTTGTTTGCGGAAGATTCGTGTTATTTTTAGTCTCTATGAAAGTGTTTTAAGCTTACAATTAGTGAAGAAAGTTTGACAAGCTGAGTTTGAATCTGTTGAAATTTGTGTAAAAATAAAGTAGTCTGTACATGGGATTTTTGTGTCAATGCATGGTCAATACGTGTCAATACATAGTTATTATCAATTTAATATTATATATAATATTAAATTTTAAAAAATTAAATTATATTATTATATATAATTATTATAAATTATTATAATTATTAAATTATATTATATATATTATATTATATTATTATATATAATATTATATTTCAATGTTAGAAAATAACAGAAAAATCTCTGCTTCATATCTTCTTTTATCACAAATATTAGTAACTAATACCAGGAATCTATGTGATTAACGTGCATTATTAAAATGGTTATATTCTTCAGAAGCAAATAACTAGAAACTTCAACAACTCAAGAAAAATATTAATATTCATATTAATATTTTTCTTGAGCCTAAAAATGTACTTGTGGGATAAATAATTTATATAATTGGGACACATCAACAGGAATCGACTGATTCTTTTCGCTAATAGCAACTTCTTCCATATACTATAGAAGTTCGTGTTAATTGGACTTAATTAGTAAAGATTCATTTAATCAGGACCAAAATTTGATCGAAATAAATGCATTATTCACGTAGTTGTATTGCACCTCTATCGAGTAGTCGATACTTCAGAATTTTCCATATAACTCGTATGTGTTTTTTCCTCACTGACGTAATTATCGTCGTGATAATTACGTTACACGCGTGATAAATAATAGGCGAGTCATCGGACCGTGAACATGGACATGAAAATTGTCCAGTGCTATTAATTCACTAGTCAGATTATGTAATGTGTGTCGAAAATTATTTTTAGTTTACGATGCTCAAGTAAACTGGCTGTGTAGTATTAAACCACGTGGTTCGTGGTACAATCACGTTGCATCAACGTAAACGGATTTGCGTTTCGCGAGTTGATTAATTTGCTGTTAATTTGATTTACCGAATTAACCTTGACATACTGCCTCTTTAAAAATTTGATCGACAAAGAGAACTTACGCATTGGTATTTGAAGCATTGCGTTGGAAATGTTTCCGTCGATGTCTATTGTGATTCGACGAATCGTGCTGCTACCCACTGAGAAATTCGTTTGCGTCTCTCCTCTCAAATTGTATTTTTCTGCTATTTTTATCTGGCAAAAGGTCGATCGAATCCGTTAGATCGATGTACTTCGTGTACATATATACATATACATTACTGATAAATCGTTTTTGGCTAGACAAAAGGTGACTAATGTTACATAGACAATAGTCGCTGTGAGTTTAATTACTAATCGTTACATAGATAATGATGTATCGCCAACATGAAATAACGGAGCAAGACACGAAAATACTTTTAGAGTTGAAGTATAAAAGTAGAAGTGGAAATATTTTCTATGTTATTAAATATATTTAATGACGAAGAGAAGCATGAGAATGGTAAAGAAGAAACATTGAAAATGAAATGAAATAAAAATTTAATTTACGTTAAAGAACATTCCAAATCAATTGAATCCTTAGTTGCAATGTTCTTATTTATTATATTTAATAAACAATAATAAAAAAAAGTGTTAAAAAGTTTGAAGGAAATAATAGACAATTTACTTAAGTAATAAAAAATTATCTTAATAGAAAGTGACAGAAATATTCTTTTCAAGTGGTATATACATATTTACTTTTGATTCTCATTGTCATACAAATAGTAATTATACTTACAGAATTTGTAACTCCACGATAACTTTCATTCTTTTCATTGTTTTCTGAAGAATAGAATTCTTTATTCGTATAATTCGTGGCAGTTCTTGTTTTAATGTTACAGTTTAGGTCAAGGTAAATCTAAAAAAAAAAAACTCGTATTGGAACGACAGTAGAAATGTGTGTTTGAACAGTCCTTACTTGACAGTCTCTTGCGGCGATATTCGAATTTCGTGCATCTGTTTTGAATAGTGAATGATCTTTTAGTAGATCTGAAATATTATACATACAAATTATAGTTTCTCGTAGCTTTGCCAACAACGTTTGTTGTTGTACAATTATTAATTAATAACTGTGATAATATAAATGTTAATAAATAAAATTAAATAATGATTTTATGTATTCATTAAATAAATGATATATGATTCGATTTATGATTTATTTGCCGGTGATTTAAATTTTAATTAATATTTAATAATGAATTTTAACAAATAACAAGACATACATGTGCAGATATCATATACTTTTTTTTATATTATTTTAAAATTATAGTTACCTATAAAAATTTTTAACTTACCTAATGTATCAATATCGTCAGCTATCCAGATGAGAGTAATATATTGAATACTAACTCCGGTTTTGTCTATTCTATCGATGCAGTATCTACATAATAAATTGAAATTTAACTTAATTTTATTATATAGTATTTTAAAACCTATCATTTATTATTTTAAAGTAACTGTGTTCATGAAACTGAGCTTTATTATTTTACTGTCGAAGAGTAATTACAAGTACATACATAAATATTAATTATATTTAATATATAAATCGTTCAGAATTCATTGTTGTTGATTAAATTAATAAATTAAAATATTTAGAAAAGTAATAATTGCAAACATTATTTTTTAACATTATACTTTTTTTTACTTATATTGTCTTCTTATGATTAATAAATTTATGAAAATAAAATTTCTGTTTTGAAATATTGAATAGTAGTATTTGGAAATTAATAATTTTCTAAACAGTGATGTTGAGCAAATATAAGTAAATATAAAGTATAATATTTTTATAGTATCATATTAGAACGTTTATAATATAAATGCAGATATATATTGAATATAATTATCTTCTTTGTATTAATACAAATTTTTCATTATTAGCTGTATAGCAGAAGTAATTTTCATTAAGCACATTTTATAATTTTTAGAAAATTGTTAGCAATTTAAACTTTATATATTTAGAATTAAAGATATTTTAAATGACAAAAAATATTTGAAAAAAAAGTTAAATAGAATGTTCAAATATTCAATGCCGTATTTTTAAAATAAATAAATACGTGTACATGTCAATATAATAGCTGATTAACAGTTATTACAAAATGACTTTCTTTTATGAAATGTAAGACGAACGAAAGTAGTAAAAAATAATGGAAGAGCTTAAATATTCTGTTCAAATACTCCTTTCATACTGAATAACCTTCTTCAGTTGAAATAACAGATATCTAATCAAAAGCATGCACTACATATTTTAAAAGAGCGATATTTTAAATGGAATTCATATTTTTTCTATTACTATCAAACGTTTAGCATAATTATCTTTTAAATAACTTTTAATTTCGAATGTGATGAAAATATTGAGTGTTACTGAAGTTGAACATATTATAACAAAAACGTATTAATTTATGAATTTGAAATTACAATTAATATAATTATTAATATAATTGATTACGTACATCACAATTTAAAAAATACAGAACACGATTTCACAACTTTACACTGTATGTATGCTACATTTTTATGAAATCATAAAATATATTTAACATTATAGGTATTGTCTTTTATATTTATTGTAATAATCAGTAACATGCGATTTAAAATTCTTTTAGCATCGATAAAATCAAAGATTTCTTTATTTTTGTTGTAATTAGAGTCTGAATTTTTTGTGAGTTACGTAAACTTTTCCTTGAGCTATGTTAATGTATTGAACAAGACAAATTATTCTCTCATATGTAGAGACATTGCAGACAAAAATTAAAGATATAAAAATGTCAAGAATGATACCATACGCAAAAATATGAAATATCAAAAGTAGAATGCTCGTTATAATGTTTATTAACAAAAACAAATTTCTTTAATTGTGTTCATAAAAATATGAAATTACATGAAAATCCATAATCTACTTAAGCTTCTATAATTTTTTATTCTCATGAATATAATCAAAGAAACGATAATTTGTTTCATCTATTAAATATTACGAAAAGAGTTTTACTTTAAACATTTCATATATTTTGCATAAATAAATGAAATTCTGAAAGTTGTAGAACATTATAGAGGATTAACTCACTTGTTACACGTGTCCGCGGAGAAAATAAAAATCCCATCATCACCGGGATTTTTCAATTTTCTAAAAACTTCCTTCTCCACTGTACGTTCTATCGAATCGATCGAATAAGGTGTAGTTTGCAAGTTCGATGACTCTTCGAAAAGCTTCCAACCTTTCCTCGAATCTTCATCTACACTCCCAACAGTCTTCAGGGTTGCTGTATCCTCGAAAACTGCCGCGCACTTGATACACACCAAGTAACAAAGGAACGAGAACCAGAAACACGTTAAAGTTACCATGGTGTCGTCCGATCGGGAATACTCCGGTTGAAAGACTCGTCGTAAAAATGAGGCAGTTACTTATAAAGTTGCGGGCGTAGTCGTTTACAAAAGGGTAAGGTGTCTGTCAATTGCGCGGACGATAAACGTAGACGCAAAGTAAATCTAGGTGTAAACGTCGCTCATTACACAATCGCAGGTGTTTGATGTGCACGCGTGTACAGGATGTGAGATCGCGTATAGAAATCGGTAATCCGAGTTCCGACAGGATGCCGGCGCGTAAAGCTGCGTACACATTCGTTATTTAATGTTATTGACATTCGTCATTGATGGGTTTCGTGGTAACTGGTTTCTAAATCTATAAAGTCACTGTTGCCTACGTCTATTGATGGGCAATCGAGTTTCAGTTTCGAAACGATTCGATGTTAAAATTCGTGCCACTTTAAGAAAATTACACAGCTGCAAAAGTTTTGAAAATTTTGGAAGTCTTGATAATTTTGGGAGTTCTCGAAGTCTTAGAATTATTTTAATCAGTATTGAAGGCTTGACGTGGAGATACTTTATTTTAATTCAAACATTAATATTATTGATTTAGAATATTTGAGAAGCAATCTTGAAAGTCTTGGAAGTTCTGAAAAGTCTTGATAGAAATTTGAAATTTTGAATAGCATCATTGATATGAAGTATAAGAAAATGGATTTAATACTGCTAAATTTTAGTACTTAGATTGATAAAAATATCCAAGATCTTCAGGATTTTTAAAACTGTCAAGACTTTCAAGAATTTTCGGATATCGAATCCTGTTGGAAATGATTCGAATCTGTCATACTTATCTATTCAAAGCAATTGGAAGCTCATTATTAATTGCCTCATTGCGTCTATTTTGTTGAATGAATGACTATCAAAGCACAAGTGATTTTTATGTCTGAAGATATCGAATCTTGATAGACAAAAAGCGTCCTTTATTCAAGAGACACCACGTTATTTCCTTTCGAGGAAGTCATTCCATAGAAACAAGTCGCAGGACACAATCTACATTTGTTACTTATGCAGTAACAAATGTGTACGCAGCTTAACAAAAGATATAGACCACTATCTTCGTCATTGGGATTTACGTTCATTGTATCCTGTTCAATATTGACAGTTTGTGAATAATCCAGCCGAGATTTCAGAGTTTCACGATTAATATGTCATGACAATGATAGTTTTAGGATTTTAACGCGTCATTGTCGTTAACGCGCGATTCACCTACGTTTTTACGTCACGTAAACGAAGCTGATTTTTCAGAAACTTGGATTATTTTTCATAAACATGGGGTTGGATCATTTATCTTCCTTCAGATTTATAGAGATATATGTGTAGAGGCTTTGCCTTATGAGAAGGGAAGTTCGCAGTTGAGATTTCATTGAAGATTAAATATAGTATAGCATTCTTCTGGATGTTTGTTATTCTGTTTAATTTTAGCGCGAGGAATTTATGGCGATGTAAACTTGGAAATTATGTATTTTCTTGTTTAGAAACAAATAACAGGCCTGAGATAACAGGTTTATGTTATGACGTTTATTATAATTAAAAGATCGACACAGCTTCTATAATTTTGATTAAATAATTATACTTGTGATATTGTTATTTTATATAAATAATATTGATTTTATTTTATTTCGTTTGCTCGTAAGTAAAATTCGTTAGATTGTTTCGATAATCTGAGATATTCTAGAAATTGTAAGTGATCTATATTACGATGAATCATTAGATTTTGTAATTTTGCTGACACTGAAAACATATTTCATGATGTATGTATGTACTCAAGAGAAAATTAAAGTTCTACAAAAATAGATTACTTCAGCAGAATTCTGTCTTCGTAAGACATTAAAGTTATCGTTGTCTGACATGTACGTTTTTTAATAAATAGAGGTATAAGCACATGATATTTAAGTATAAAAATTTAACTGTTAATTTTGGATAAAATTTTTAAAATTAAAACTATTTTTAAGCACAAAATTCCATAAAATGCACATATTATGAAGAAACATACATAAAATATTCGAAATATAATATTTTCTATAATATTTGATACGTAAAATAATTTTTAATTATAGCCTCCATTTTTTTAATTGTAATCTGAAAAATATAAATTTGCCCAAAGTCTGTAGTTATTAAGAATATTTACGCGTATTTTATTTATAAACAGTGTACATAATTAAAACTTACAATTTATAATTTATTTCACATTAATACTATTATTTACTTATTATAAGGTACTGTATTTAAAGTATCTTACTATTTAAGTTATATTTACAACTAAAAGGACGTTTGTATGTGTATTTATTTCTTAAATGTGAAATTGATCGATGCTCCAAACTTTGTAACGTTAGTGTACGTTTCAAAATATCGCTACAATTTAACAAACTGTACCAAATTTCCATCGAAATTCTCCATTATTTTTAGATGCTGAACTGAACAACTTCGTGGGGCAGGAACCAGCGAATTTACATAATTCAGCAACATCGGCGATTGTGGCCGATGCGGACAGTGAATTCACGCCGATATCCTTGCACCCTGAGGAAACCAAAAATCAGCCAACGAGTCAGCTAACAAGTCAGTCAACGAGCCAGACAACGAAACAGGGCTACCTCACCTCAATCCTTTCGTCTTTGCCGAATTTATCGTTGTCGTCGATCACCAGCGATACCTCGGGATCTCAAGCGAATCAAACGATCGAGAACGTAATTGGTGTACAGAATACAGATCCTCATGTGCCTTTGCACGATCATCGTGACTCGTTGAGGGATACAGCGCCGCCTGTAGTCGCTAATTTCCACGATCCACGACGTACGAATTTCACGGGATTAGGCGTCGAGGTTAACGCCGGAAGTTTGTCAGCACCGCCGCAACCGACGATCCCTTCGTCGACGAATGGTAAGTTTTTCTGATTTCTCAGAAAATTGCAAATCTTGCACAATTGATTCAATTAACAATCAATCCTTAAATACATTGCTCGACTAGAAATCGAGATTGCACAAATTTGAAACTCGTGTATGTGATATGTTTTTTTGAATTGTTATAAAGAGAAGCTTTTCGTTAAAAAAATTTGGTTAGAAAGTGAAAAAGTTTATACTAATTGTTTATTACATTTAACTTTTGCGGAATTTGAATTTGGAATTTATTTTTTTCATGGTTAATAAAAAATATTGTGTGATTTTGTTTTGAAGGTCAAATAATTCGCGATTTTATTATCTATACTTCAATTTATATCGTGACTGTTTGTTATTTTATTTCACTGAATTAACTCAAATAAATGATTCTTCATAATGGTTTATTTCGATCTAACAATAAGATACAGTATTATTTTTAAAATAAAAATAATCAGAAATTATCTATTATTTCAATTATTATTTTATTTATTATATTAAATTATTTCTTTGGTTTATTATTTCAAGTCGCTATTTTTTATCTTTATTTCGAATAAAATTCTTTCGAATTTATAGAATTTTATTAACCGAATAAATCAGGAACTTACAAATAGTATATCAGATTAATTGAATTAAATGAATAATACGATCTTTTTTTTTCTTCTTTCTCAGGCCCCGTTTCGTATCGTCTTGGCAACCAAAGACGTCTGAAATACGCACCGCCGCCCGACTTAACATCGAACACATCCAAACAATACTCGGCCCTCGTGGCTCAGCCGCTAGTCACATCTCAGATCAGCGCAACACCGAGTATATTCAATCCAAACGAACCTGTATCTTCATTACCAAGTTACCAGCCCGTTGAAACGAATTCGATTTCTACGAATTCACCTTCGTTACAACGTTCCACGCCAGAGTATTTGTCACAAGCTAACTCTTTGCAAGAGTCTTTCCGATCTAGTCCAGTAGCAGTAGGAGTTCCTTATAGTTCTACCGGCACTTCGCGAAGCGTAACGCCCCAGAATCAAAATTCGAGTTCCGAAACTGTCCCTGTCATCGAGAAACCAAGTATTCCTCTGTCCACTGCCCGGGCAATCCCTCTGCAAGTTCCAGAACCGATTACTCCGCAGAATACTCCGGCCAATGTTTCTTATTTCGGTTTCGATGCGTACGCTGGTCGAGATTTCCCGTCGAGGACGATCGATTTAGAAAAGGAACCAGTACTAGCGAAGAGTCATACAGACTCGCCTTTGCCAATTTTAAGAGACAGTAGTACTGTGAAACCCGTTGCGGAAGCAAAAACCAGTGTAACTTTCGCACCTGTGTCTGCGGTTCAAGTTTCAGAGAAGTTGGAACACTTGCTTGCCGAACAGAAGGAAAATTCGTCGGACCAACCGACTGAGACAAAAATCGAGGAAAGTGTTGCACTGTGTCAAACCAGCGAAAGGTTCGACGATGTAATATTAACTAACACCGAGGAGAAGAACAATTCACCACAGTCTGACGTGTTTGGGTTGAAAGAAGAAACTTCAGAAGCGGTACAACCAACGATATCTCCTCAAGAAGTGCACACGGATCACGAGAAACTTAATTTACCGCAGAGTCACGGTGTTTCGTCAAATGTGCAACCTTCGCAGCAATATTATCAACCTCAACCTTTCACATCGAGTGTTAACTTTTTCACGGAAAAGCCACCAGAGCAAACTTTGAATTTCAGTCTCGTTCCTGCGACAGTTGATTCGGTGTCGAGCACTTTTTCCAATTCCTCGACCACTTTCGCACAATCCGCGAGCTCGTATTTCCCTGGACCGGCAAGTACCGGCTCGTCTTATAATAATTTGCAGTACAAAGAAAATAGCACGAATTATCCTGTAGACGTGGCTCGTTCGAGAAACGATTCACAGCAAGTGTCGTTCGATAGCTCGACCGGTTCGAATTTTCCTTCGAATAGTCCTTCGATATCGGTAGCTCAATCATCGTGGAGCGGTAATCAAATCTCTCAGACTGTGATCGCAACATGTAACGCGCCTGATCAACCGCTGCAACAGCCTCTGTTCTATAATATCGCACAATTTCAAGACGATCCGCCGAAACACGCGCCTGCAAGCTATTTGTACACGCCACTGGTGAAGAATACACCGACGAATCACGCTCAATATTATTTCGACAATATCGCCGAATCGAGGCAACCTTACAACAATATAACAAGTGGTATCGGCGTTGAGTTTTCTGCTACGTCTTCTGCGACGACAATTGTACCCGAGCCTACAGGTTCGGCTACGTTGAATCCGGTTCAAATGTCAGTTAATCCTCTGGGTGGACGTACCACGACTGACAGCGTGCCCCCTAGTTTTCAGAATTTGGTAAGATGTCCTACTGTAATAGCAATATTGTTTGTATCATGTTTGAAGTGTACAAGCCTCTCAGAAGTCAAACTGACTAATTAATTTCAGATTTTATTAATTTCATTACATAAATATTCTTCAGAATTAATATTCAATGCTGAGGAAACAAATGACTTGTTTTTGTTAAGTTCATTCATCTCATGAAAATGACATAAGTAATGATAAATTTAAAAGATAGTATTTATAATGTCATTGCTTTTCAATGCTGTTTCCAGTGCAGTTGAAGAACTCATAACAAGACTGATTTTTGTTAAATTCTTTAACCTCAGGTAAAAATGCGATCTAACTAACTGCAATGAAACTCACAATATAATAATAAAAAATAAGTTTTAGTATCGAATGACCATTTAAATGAGATTAAGCGTAAGCTATATTCACTATTGTTAATACTTTCTATATTCGTCATATCTTAAACGACGAGGTCATAAATAAACTCATTCTTTTCAAGCAGTCAAGAGCTACCTGAAGGAAATTTTCTGACCATATCTAATTGTTTTCGAGACTTTACTTTTCTTCAGGTATCGTTCATTCATTCTACTAATGGGTTCGACAAACGAGTATGTTGATTGGAAAATCCTGTATTGGTAAAACTCAGTTGAAACCATATTTTCGGCATAGATCTTGCAGAATTCTTAGTCAAGTTCAGTGTTGCTTGAATCGTTGAGTAGAAGAGCCGCTTTAGCAGTTCATGTCACTAGTCCTTTGCATTCGAAAATTTTATTTGCTCATATTACTAGCCACTGAATTTCAATAGAAAGAACGTATTTTGTATGTAAGTAAAAATATATAAAAAAAGAGTTACAGTCATATTTGTCATTGTCAAAATTATAGTTAAATTTGATGTTATTGTGAAGTTTAATATATTCCCAATCAGTGTACAAAAAATTAGATACTCGTTGGTACATTTTTTGAAACTCCAGTCAAATTTGATTAACATTTAATAAAAAATTAGGATAAATTGTTAATATTATGAAAAAGTTATTCTGGTAGGCCTAACATAAGTATACTAACATAAGTTGTAAAAATCAAATTAATCAAATAAACATTCGTCAAATGATACGTGTTAAAAAAAATGCACTAAAAAGTTTGAGCATCATTTTTAATAATAAAATTGAAAAATTCAGTAGAAGTAGTAGTGGGGAGCATTAAAATCTATATTTCTTTATTAGTATTTTGAGATACAATGAGCCAATTTTAGTCTTCAGTTTTTTAACTTTTGTCCATTGCTCGTCACACTGTGCGTAGTGGAGACAAATTTTCAGATTTGTTGAAGACAAATTTTAAATAGCTTCATAGAAAAGCCCTCGAATGCAAAGGATCTTTGATTTTGAACACGTGTAAGTGAAGTTAACGAAAATAACGGTTAGAAGTTATAGTGTTCTTAATAAAATTTGATATCGTTCAGAAAAATGATAGCTGCTGGCATTTATCTTACACATGTTATAAATGTATGTATATATATCTTTTATTTTATATATTAATTATATGTACTGTGATTAGTGTAAATGTAATGCAAGATTAAAAATACAAAATAAGTTTTCTTCGCACTGGATGCAGCTACACTAACTAGCTCATAATTGTTCTGTAAAATTAATAGAATATTCTTCATTTCTATTATAAATATTCTTCATGTTGTCATGAAAGTTCTATTATTCTAGCATTTTAAGTTCTATCTTTTAAATGTATCTCTAAATTTATATAAAAATCCACAATTTATTCATCACAGTCATAAGAGTAATTTATTTCTTCAATCCATTACATACTTGTTTTGTAAAATTATCGAAATATTTTTCGCTTCTATCACTTTCCGAATATTCTTTATTTTTCCATAAATTTCAGGCTGCTGGTACTACGGATAAACGCATGCAGTACAGAGAGGTCTATCACCATTGGTTTTATCGGAAGAAGGTGGAACACAAAGTACTATGGCTCCCATTCTCTATGCAGGATAGCTTGCGTTTAGAGGAGGTTCACAATTCTAGTGAAATCACCCCTGAAACGACAGTTGCCACTGACGGAGGTCGTTACGACGTAGACATTCTACGTCGTCAAAGATCCCCTGTTTATTGGACTGGAGAATCGGCGGAAGTGAGACGATGCTCTTGGTTCTTCAAAGGACCTACCGAGTCGAAATACGTTCCTTACGATGAAAGTACTGCCGCCAAACTCGAAGAAGAATATAAACAAGCATGCCTGTCGAACAACTGGAATCGAAAGATTGATTTGAGCAATGGAGAGTACATTGTCTTCCACAGTGCCACGGTTCAGGTCCATTATTTGACTGCTGTTTCGCCAGAGCTGACAGCTTCGTGGGGCAACAGTGCGGTAAATTTTATTATATTTTTTTTTTTATTGATGTCCTGTTGTTTCGTTTTGTTCTTTGAAAGTTGGATGAAGAGTATATAACAAGTTAAAAATGCATAGTTTCTTTCAGAATATATCTTTTGATATATTTACTCAATATATTGTATTATATTATCTTCTTTGAATCTCCAATAAATATTATTAATTACAAGTATCTCAGATTATCTGTATACGATATTCTAGTATGAATATTCAAAGAGATAATAATACATAGAAAGAGTTGTGATAAAATTTGTCTTTTTTTAAAGAATATTCTTACAATCCTTATATAAGAGTTTGTAATTCGTAGTATAAATAAAATCAAAGATAAAAATAATTTTATTCAATGATTTATATTTATACCTAAAATATAACTTATCTATTGTATTCTCTTGTTTAATTAGAAATTAGATAAACTTATACATATTCGACAACTCGAGTTTCTCAAAAATGATATCTTCAACGTAATTTTGTTGTTTTTGATTTTCTTTGATCACATTTATACCATGAATTATGAACTTCTCTATGTAAACTAATTATTATTTAAATGTCTGTATATAAATGTCTAATTATTTTATGACAAAATTGTGCATTAATAATATAAGTTTTTATTGTATTTTAACATTTACATTCTGCTTAATTTAACATTTGCTTAATTTACATTTCTGCTTAATTTACATTTTGTTTAATTTTTTTTCATTCTGTATGTATTTAATTATTTTGTTTAATTTTTTTTCACTCTGTATATATAACATTTTGTACCAAACATAATTTGTGCCATTGCATAAATACAGTATCATTCTTACTCACTGTTTATTTGTAAGTTTGAAATTTCAATATTTATCAATTACTTTAAAAGTACACGTTATATTACATTTTATAGAAAACATATTTTATAGTCAAATAAAAAAAAAATTTGATTGATAGAACTTATTAAATTAATGCAACGCATAACTACAAGGGTAATTAATTTGCCTCGATAAATTGAATGTACTTTAGGCTGTTTTAATTGAATTTTCATTCCTAGAAAATTTCCTATTTTAATTTCATCAACATAAACAATTTAGATATTATTTAATGCAATGTAAATTGCAATTTCTGTACATATTCAGAAATATATATAAATTGCAATTTCTTCATGCTACATCTTTTTTTTTTTTTCTTTTTTCATTATGCACGAACTGTTCTGTTGGAAATGTTGAATCACAATTTGTACAGGGCTCAGAGGACAGTACATATTTACAGGGTGCTGGTAGTAGGCCTAGAGTGATAAAGAGAGGCCTTGACGAGTTCCACATCGAAGACGGCGAGCCTGAGACAGTGGACCATGTTTTGTTTCTCGTTCATGGCATCGGAAGCGTTTGTGACTTGAAATTCCGGACTGTAGAAGAAGTTGGTATGTTGAGAATTATTTTTACAAATTTTTAATATTTATTTGAATAGCTTAATCATGTATGTATCATACATGAAAATTCTATTTTGTTGACGAAACGATTCTAAACAGTATAAATGAAAAGTCATTGTTATTTGGTATATTGTGGATTTTTATGTATTTATTGGAGACTTGAAGATGCAAAAATATACAAAGTGCATTTAATACATAAAAATATATAAAACATGCGAAGTAAAATATTAATTACTATTTTTAATAAATGAAATTAATCTCCTACTTCTTTCGTCAATAGGAATAGGAATTTGCATAAAAATTCGCAATCTATGAATAATTAGTATATTGATAATAATTTTAATGTAATAAATAAAAGTATGATGATTTAATAATACTATAATTTGTATTATGTATTTGCAGTTGACGAGTTCCGGAATATTTCGCTGCAGTTGGTCCAGTCGCATTATCGAACCGCTAGTGAACAGAGAATCGTGAATAGGATAGAAGTCTTACCAATTTCGTGGCACACGACCCTTCATTCTGAGGATACTGGAATCGATAAAAAATTACAAGCAATCACTCTGGACAGTATACCGAAATTACGACATTTTACCAATGACACGTTGCTCGACATACTTTTCTACACAAGTCCTGTTTATTGTCAAACTATCATGGAAACAGTTGGGAACGAATTAAATAGACTTTACGCCCTTTTCAAAAAACGAAATCCAGATTTCAGTGGTGGAATTTATCTGGGCGGCCATTCTTTGGGTAGCTTAATTTTGTTTGATCTTCTGTGCCATCAAAAACCGCTGTCGGATGAAACAACCTGTGAAAATAACAGCGGGACTAATGAAGAACAAGTAAGTAAATTATGTTTACTCGATTACGAAAGGGAAACTAAGAAAGGAGAATTCAGACTAACTGTCGTAATAAATTTTGATTAAATGCATGAAAATTTTTGTATTTTTTTCGGAAACAAGGATTTCGAAAAATTGGTTGTGAAGCAAAATTTTGAACGTGTTACTTAAATTGTACACTTTCCTGATATATACAGTTCTTGTAATAATAATTATAATCAAATTTTGAAATAGAGTTTATAATTAATATTTTTTAAATTTATCTATTAATGGATTCTTAAATTTAATTACTTTGACAATTTATCTTTACAATTCTGTAAATTTTACAGCTTATTTACAAATTACATAAGCTGCTAATATTATAGAATAATGACTAAATTTATTAAAATATTATCATTAATATTTATTATTAATATTATCATAAAATTTATTAAATATTATCATCACGAAAAAGAAAAAAAAAAAGAGAGCTTTAATATTCTTGAATATTTCAGAATTGATTTGGTCAATTTCATCAAAATAATAGATAAGACATAACTAAGGAGAACAGCTTAATTCAACATATTTTTTTTATAATTAACTTCTTATAACTCAAAGAAATACATTTGTACATAATTTATATTAAGCTTATTTTCGTTTGTTCTAGAACGAAGAAGATGTCAATCCTTGTGAATCATCCAATCAAACGTCGAAACGGCGTCTCAGTAAAAAGATAAGCTACGTAGTAGGTGCTGCCGGGACGGGTCAGCCTTATATACGTTATACGCAGTTACATTTTCACCCATGTGCCTTTTTCGCTTTCGGCAGCCCGGTTGGTATGTTTGTGACAGTTCGAGGTATCGATATGCTTGGTGAAGATTTTGTATTGCCAACATGCCCCGCTTTTTTCAATATATTTCATCCATTCGACCCTGTTGCCTACCGAGTTGAGGCACTCATTAATCCGGAAGCTCCTAAATATCGACCAATGTTGATCCCTCATCACAAAGGACGTAAAAGAATGCATTTGGGTAAGTATACGTTTCCATGTATACATTTATTAATTTATAAATTTATAAAATAAAAGGAAACAAAATTCCTTATTTAGTATTCTTAAACGTAGCATTTTATAAAATTTTATTTTGAAGCATGTCTTCCTTTTTTTTATTAGAAACATTTTATATTTTACAATCTCTTCTTTTAAATTAATTATTATAATATATTCATGTTTCCAAAAAATAATAATATTTAGTCACATAAAATACCAATAGTCGTCTAATGAGAAAATTAGAAAAAATATAGTTTATAGAGAAATATTAATCAATTATGTAATAATTGTCATGTTTCATGTATGTTGTAGAATTAAAGGAAACAATGGCGCGTGTTGGTGCTGATCTGAAACAGAGGTTACTTGATTCCGTAAGGAACACATGGAATTCTGTTTACCAATTGGCAGTGTTTCATAAATCAGATAACAGCACACTCGAGCGTGAAATTGACAAAGTTATGGAAGAACAATTGCAACAGACTGTTTCGGATCATCAAACTAATGATGATGGCGGTGCTGAGTTTAAAGTGGGCAAACTAAATGGTGGACGAAGAATAGATTATGTCCTTCAAGAAGCTCCGTTCGAGTACATTAACGAATACATTTTTGCACTGACAAGTCACGTCTGTTACTGGTTAGTAAAATTTTTAAAATTATATTAAAAAAATGTAATTTTAAACTCGTTTGTTGAAAAATCGTCTTATCTATCACATAGAAAGCATTATACTTTAAATATTTTATGTATTTTTTTATATTATATATATTTCAGAACATTTTAAAATATTCTATAAATTTATATTTTTATTATATAATAATTTTTATATTATTATACATGTATATATACAATATAATATTTGTATCGCATGCTAAATGTTATAAGTATTATATGTTACAGTGCTACTCTATATATTGTATATACATCTTTAAAATATACATGTTTGTAATTTATAGAATATCCAATATGTATTTTTTATATCCGCAATTAACTTTAAACTTCAAACATTTCTTGTCTAGGGAGTCCGAGGATACTATGCTGATGATTCTAAAGGAAATATATGGTTCAACTGGTGTTCAAGCAGATGCTCAACTTCCACAGCAAACGTTGTGCGTTGAGCGAATCCCTCCCTCGCCATCATTGTCATCGTCCTCTAAAAACGACGGTGTCTATGGAATGGATCCTACTGCACCTATATCTGAGAGATCTATTGGTCCTCCGCCTAAGAGTGGATTTGTTAAAAAGTCATGATCGAAATGGAATCGTTTAAGTTTCTATGAACTATTTCATGATAACGAAAGACAAAGTAATGTTCAGAATCTTACGATTGCTACCAATCAGGTTGATGCGGGCATTGTACCTGACGTTAATACCACCTATAAATTCTACGATTACTGAGAATCAAATTTTTCCTGTTTCCTACGAGAGGTATTGTAAAATGTTATTAAATCGATAAAACTGCTCTTCAAGAGATTGACCTTGGCTTCCAAGGTCATTCTGTTGGTTTTAATTGTTGTTTATTGTTTGTTACTAAGTTATTAACAAAATAACTTTTATAAGTAGAATATGCCTTTCCGACCATGCACATTGAACCCTTATGTAGACAATGAAAAAAAACTTATATTTTCCGTAACTTTTTTTTGTAAAATTTCCATTTGTACATTTAAAGTCACAACTTACAAAATTGAGCGGTATCGCGATGACGCGTGTGAAGATCAAGGCCATTCGATGGGATGAGTTTCCCCGCAATTTTACTATTAAATCTACTGTAGCATTCGAAAATATTTCTCAAGTGGATTGTTCCTTCGTGTGTTCTTGAAATTGCCGTTTAGATTTGTCGGCCTACATGACACAACGTTCAATCACTAGCTAACGTTAAAATATAATTAAAATGAATTATGACATTCTGATTAGATGTAACGTGGAAATTATACATGCATATAGATTGAACTGTTTGTCTTAAGTTGATATACATTATACATTGTTTCAACAAGTTAAGAATATTTACATTCGTGAAAAATTTAAAGGATATTAACTTAGGACAAGCGAATGAAGATGAGAATTTGTAACACAAAAGAAAGTTATATATAAAAATTAATCATATTGTTTATTGTAAATATATGATTTATATAAATGGATATAAAGTAAATAGTATATGAAATTTTTCAAAGTACGCTTGCATTATAGAGAATTTCATTCTACGTTCTCATCGATGCAAGAATTTTAATAAAATATCATATTCTTCTACTTGTTAGATTTATTTATCGTCTCGCACCTTGTCCCTCTGTACTTGTTTTTTGTATGTTATGTACACTTTTGTATAATTTTATCAAGTTTCATAATTTAATTTATTTAACAAATGTTTTATTATAACTTTAAGTTGCATTCGAAAAAGATTTCTTTAAAAATAAGTAGTTTTAATTATACATATATTGTTACTGTTAAAAATTTCAATATGTTGCAAAACTTCATTTTTAGCGTATAATTATTTTGTTTAATTAATTAAAATCCGATCTTTTTGTAACTTGTTTCAGTTGCTAGTCATGTTTTGTCGTGATATCTGTCACGGTTTATTTAATATAATTTTTCTATAATAGATATAGTCGTATATGAAAGTATTCGAACACTTTTATTATTATTATTGTAGTGAGAACTATCGTGATTTTATTGGACAAATTTGAATTAAATTTGAAAATATAATATGTACAATATATTATATTTATTTATTATTTATTTATTATATATTATGTATAATATAACATAACGAAATATTTAATCTAAACTGCATTGCACAAATAAATCTTAATATTTAGTAGAACTACTTTTAATCATTATATGTTTAAGATAACTATCCATGCTTTTTTTTACTTTATTGAAATACATGTTTGCAATAAATATACAACTCCTATATATATTTTCCTATTAGTTTTATATTTATATTGTACATCATCATACCAGCCGTTTCCTATTACACGATTAATAAAAATTCTAAATATTTTCTATCACGCTCAGTTCTTCTTCACGATAAATCTTCGAATACTTTCACATGCCACATTATTTACACAGTGAATAAAAACCACTCGGTACCGTGTTACAGCATGTTACAACAAACACGAAACTCAAGAGCGATCGTTGAAGGATCACTTCGCGAGACGAGCAAAAACCAACTAGCCCACGTCTCTTATCGTTCATTTCCGTCTTGTGGAAAAATTCCGTCACAGGATTGTTAATCTCCGGTCGGATCTCCCATGTCCTTTGGTACGGTGCTACCGCATAGTCCCGCGGGATCATCGAATGGTGCTAGCTTATCGCGCGAGCAGTTTTTAGTTAGCTGACATAAAAAAAGAGTGGTTCGGCACATGCACGGGTATCACGAAACGCTAATTAATTGCGGTGCAAGCCCGCCAGTCTCTGCCGTGGGGGCTGCTTTGCATTTTGCGTGCAGGCCCTCGTAAAACTACATGCCTGTCAGCCCGGGCGAATTTCAAGATGATTTATCGTCTTGGCAAAACTAAGTTTTTCGCGATACTTCGTGGCTTCGCGGTTCCGTGGTTCTGAAAGGCGCGGGCAATGCCTTTGCACATGCAACTATACCGCCGGTATCGTCGGTTTACGCGACTCGACGTAGCTGATCGACTCGTGTTTTATGTTCCTTCCATCCAACTCGGCCCGTTGCTGAAATATACGTTGTTCCCTCTTCTCACCTCCGGGATCTCGTCCACTCAACTTCCCTCCGTTGGCTTTCACGCGAAACGCTCTTGCGTCGCTTAACTATTATACTTATGCGGGATAATAGCCACCTTCGATTATAACTTCGGTCGCACGGAAAGTTATCACGTTGTGAATGTTATATTTTAATATCGTGAGGTTGCGAAGATTGAACAGAAAGCGTACTTTTTCGAGTTACTTTCGTGTTACGATATACACTATGTTTTTCTATCTTGCATCATGTATTAAAATTTATAGATCATCATAATATCGTTTTATAAAATTTTGTAAAATTTTTATAGAATAGTGATTCTATCATCTAATAGCTGAGAATCTCCTAACAAGAAAGTGAATGAAAGACGTGAATAGCGAGGTTCACTCGACACAGGCTGCCGTCATAAATAATTCGCGACTCGATATCGTAAACGTCATGCAGTTTTTTCCAAGATATAAATCATTCTTGTCGAGCCTCGTTATAAAAATTTTACTCCTGCTTCACTTTCTGCTACAACAGCCGAGCATAAACGTCTGCCCTCTGATGCTATTGCTTTTGTATGGTTCAGCGAAAAGTTATATTCGGTAATACATTATAATTTTATGTTATGACATAGTATGAAACAAGTCAAAAACACGAACAAAAGATAAATTTAAATTTAATAAATAAATCGTGGATTTTTATGCACTTATGAGAAATTTAAAGTAGTAAAAATCCACATGATATGTCACTCGTTACGATATTCAGCGAGTGAAACAAATCTTTGCTTTGATTTTATTTCTTCAGTTATGCTCAATTTAAATTTATAAAGATTTGAAATAATAGCAAAAAAATAGATTTACGTTATTTAAATTTAATTCTTTAATTTCTATATAAACTTGCCAAACTGATCAACTTCACTTTCTACTAATTTTTCAATTTCATTACAGAAGCACATGATTAACGTTCAGTTCTCGAAAATAAATTATCTAAGTCTACGAGATTCTATCTTGGTCTTCACGTTTCATGGTTTGATAGTAAAGGTTGGTTATTAATGATTACATGCATTATAATACAATTATCATTACAGTATCATGAATGCTGTATAATAAATTATAAATTAATTAACATTACGATATAATAAATATTTTATATATAATAAAAATACAAATTTACGTATTATATAAATAATAAATAACTAGCTAGTTTTAGTTATTAGTTTAAATTATTTAATAATATAGAAATATAAATATGTATAAAATGATCTCATATAATAATAAGATATAATGGTGAAACATTTAATGAGGATAGACTTAAATAATAGTGATATGACCCATTTGAGATAGAGTAAAAAATTCTTACACTATGTTTGATTATACAAAACTTGAATACATGGAGCATATAAGCATTTTTAATAATAATGCATTTATAATTTAAATTTGGTTCAGACTAAGCCAATTAATTTTAATTTGCACTTTATACAAAATATACAAATATACAAAATAAAATAAAAATTAACTGATTAATTGATTCAAATATATCTCAAATTGTAGCGGTTATCCATAAATCAACGATTATCAGTTGAGTATTAATCTGAGTTTCGATTCTTTCATAATAATATATCGACTTTCCAAACACTTTGACGTTCAAAATAAATCGAGAACAACTTCATCCAGTCGTAACGTCTAATGGCAGTCACTGCCGCTTTATTCTAACTGCGCCCATTCTAGCACTGCAACAGAGCAATTAACAGTAAGTAGTTAGTTTCAGCTCGTTGTTATCCATTCGTCTTTTTTTGAGAACGATGCGCATCCACTTCTTGGAAATTCGTCGACCGTGCACGGACGTTAACGATTCCTGACGCATTTTGAAATTTTGGATTTCTGCCTGTGTCCATTTTCACTATGACCTGTGTCAGGCTCCACAGCGTTCTGGCACGCATCCACTCGTCGCTATTTTCTGAAATTACAGACCGGTCACCACTTTCCTTTATCAACATTTGGCAATCAAATTCGAGTTTCGAATTAATCTTCGACCTTTTGGCCGGTACGCGCATTCACGACCGCCTTATCGTGGAACAGCATTTTGATAAAATAACGCGCCGACACTGATAATAGGCTCTCGAAATTGTCCGCGCTCTCGTATTTCCCTACGTATTTTCATGCATTTGTGTTATTCAATGTTCTTTGTGTTTGGTTGTTGCTATTATTATGAATATTTTATCGATGAATGAGATGACTGTCTCGTTGTTAATAACGTTATTAATAACGTTATCAATCAATAAATAACTTTGGTAATAATATAACAAAGTGTATATTAACGTGAATTATAAAAATGTAAAAAATATATTCAAAACGTAATATTTAACTAATGTTGTTGCAGCTATCAGAATTATCGAGATGACCAAATCGTGATTTTTTCATAGAAATTTTATGCGATCCTTCGTGAAATATGTAAATAAAAGTATTAATTAGTGTTGTACATTTGTACGCTTTTTTTACACATTACCATTATATCATATTGCCATAGTCTCATATTAAAGTGATAAAGAAGATACGCTGTGTTCCATGAAGTGAAAGTATCATGAATTTAATTTTATTTCTTGCATTCATTAGTAATTTTGTAGAAGAAAATAAATCTAGTGTAAAATCCTACAAATTCATTATTAATGGAATATTTAGATAGTAGAATAATATAAATAGTAAAGAAACAATATCAATAAAATTCGAAATTCATTCATATATTCCCGACTAAAAATTTGTAGCATATTAGATATAAGAAATTTATCGAAATAAATATTTTATTTGTAATACTTTATGTACACTTCAACTGTAACGAATTATATTTAAACATGAAAGTTCTAATTATAATATTCTTATTTTTCAGGAAAATGTATGTTTAATCCAAAAGGCAAGGAGTGCTTCAAAATTTTAAATAAAAATGTGAGTAATAGTATATGAGCGATAGTGTAATTTTATTTGAAATGGAGATAAGGTTTATAATTTAATATAATAAACCGTATCTATTAGTTTATTTTTATTTGAAAAGGATATAAAGAAAGTATTTGCAAAAAATGTCTTTGTCTTTTAAATATAGATTTTTAGCTTGTAATTTAATTTTAATTATAATTTAATTTTAATTATAATTCTAATTACAAAATCGAAAAAAAAGATAAATAACAATTCCATAATGTACAGTTTCCAACAAATGGAAACATATTATTTTCAAGTATAGTGATTCGTGTACGATATTTTTTTACAAATATTATCAATGACGATGTATCACTAAAATGATTAAATAATTATTTAAATTTTTTTTCGAGCCGTGTCAAAACTTGCGCTAATTCACGTCAAGCTGGACATAGGAAATAATAATTTTCATAACCGGATAATGTTACACACGCTATGAAGTAACATAATAATAATTTACTGCAATAACTATTACGTTTCGCGGGTGGATATCCTCTCTTTCTCGTTTCCTTTGAAAATTTCCTTTTTCTTCTTTTTATGTGTGTATATGCAAGGAGCTGTGTGTAACACGGCGTAACTAATGCATCAGAATTGTT